CGAACGATAAAGCTCAGTCGCAGCGGGGTCATACGCCAGATCTCACCCCATGTGAGTACTCTTGGCAATGTGCTCTCCAGGCTGACCCAATGGCCCTGCTGCGACTGCTGGGCTGCTTTCTGGACCCGAACCTCGTTTTCGTTGTCCCTCACCGTTTGTATTACCATGTCTCGGCGTTCTTTGGCTGAGGCCTTTGACCACCAATTGACCTTCCCGTGCCCTAGGCCTCGACGGTCGGTTTGTGTGTATCCCATTATAACAAGACAAGACTGCAGTCAGAAAAAATGTCTGTGGTTATGTAAAAATTGTGGGAAGTTCACATAGGCGCCGGAACCTGTGGGTTCAGGTTCACTGAGCCCCCCCCCCCCCCCGCCATTTTAGGTGGGTAGTAGTAATTCTACTCGAATTTCTTGGACAGCTAAGAAAAGTAACCCAGATGTTTTGAAAAAAGCGAATGCTCGAAAACAACTTGTCACAAACATCAGAAAGAGACAGTCCTCATTGTTTGGTCATGTTATGATACAAGGGAAAATGGAACATGTGACCACTTAAAAGATCTATAGAAAGAAACACAGAGAAAGACAGCGTAAGAAGATTCCTGACAGCTCTTTTGTCACGACATGGCGGGGTGTCAGCACACGAATTGATACACGCAGTTGCGGATCGCATATTTTGAAAGACATGATCGCCCATGCCAGTCGGCAAGGCACTTGATAACGATTAGTAATTGTTGTAGTATAGCTGCAGTGTCAACGGAATTAAAAGTAGATGTTGCTGTTGTGATTTTGGTGTGTGTGGTGTAGCGGCAGTGACTGCATAATAGCAACACTAGTAGTAGTAGATTAGTTAGCAGCTGTTATTGTGGATTAGAAATCGAACCACATAAAATACAAAATCGACGACAACTTACGGTTCACAGACGGGTTCTATATTATAAGCTGATAAACATCGAGCAAGATGGCAGCTGTAGTGGTTTGAACGAGAACGCCATGAATACATATTTACTTGATAATCCTTTTACGTTTCACCGAACCAGGATTTAACAATTTCATCATCCCGGATTTGACAAAAATAAAACCCACCCGGTCATACTCTATCCAGAGTTGTCGGGACGTGTTTCAGACATTGTCTAACGTTTGTTCTTTTTACCGCATATGGTCTTGACATTTTTGTTTAGATTCGGGAATTGTCTCTCGTGCGATACCAGTACTGACACCTCTCTTTAGACACATTTTATTTAGCGCTGCTGTAACGTACACTTTTTTTTGAACACTGAAACCATTTTTAAGATATTTTGAGGTGAATGTCGACGGCTTTTGTTTTCTAGAAAGAAAAACAAATTCTGTATAGATGTCACAATTAGCTGTAAGTTGCATATCCTCTATAAGGTTGTTCAGCTAGTGACCAAATCTGGCCCGAGGATCATAAATAGTTGTGGGGGACTGCGTGGTCTCGAGGCTTGGTGTCCGCCTGGGTTCAATCACCGATAAGGGCTGGGATTTTTTCGCGTAGACTTTGACTTCTAGTAATTTCCCCTGGTCTTTCTGGGTAGTGAGATCGGACGTCCGTGTGCATTGTCGCGCACGTAAAAAATCCTTTGGCAGTTGGGATCTGAAAAGAGTTGCCTAACGGCGCTGACCGGGCACAATTTGGATTTAAAATTTTCCAGGATCCTCGCCTGTGGTGAGCTTCTTCGGACTCAGACATGAGTTAGAAGTAGGAAAGAGCACTCATGGATTACTACCCGTGTGCCACATGATGTTGATCCGTTGTTTAAAACCTTGTATTGTTTTTGATTATCTTACTATGCTTGAGTTCAGGCCTCTGGCGATCCGTATTTTCAAAATGTTGGCCCCAAAGTAAACTTAATCGAACAGCCCTGCTCTATAGTATACAGGTGGTCGTAAACCAACCGGGTATATGTTGGTTGTATGTGGTTTTACTCAGCAATTTTACGTTCAATAGTTTACCATTGTCCTCGGAATAGTCGGTTCTAAATACGGTTGTCGAAATTAACAGCACAGTAGATAAACCGAGTGTAGTCGCTAGGGGGTGTCCTCTTCATAACTCTGTTGGATGTTAATCAGGGTAAATGGAATTATTTTGATTAGTACGCCGTGTAGACTGAGATTGTCGATCATGGAATAGGGGATGTCTTAACATGTGCTTTCATGTAACAGGACACTCGATACAGGGACACCTAACTCTAACAGCTCCTGACGGCTCAGTTAGGCCCCAACACCTCGTTCACACACATGTTGCTTCTGCTTATTTCGTGTCTTATATGGACATTCGTTCATATTTGGTCTTCAAAATATCTCCTTTTTTTCCGGTACAAGGGTTTCCCGTAATTATTGCTTAATTTTATAGTCACAAAATTCACTTTTTTATTTTCTCTCACCCCTGCCTAACATTGTGCAATCACAACTCCTAAGCTGCAGGCAAAACAGTACACAATGTAGTACAACATTCCTCGACAAACTTGTTTTATGAAACTATAAACAGAAATGTTACATTGCACTGAAATGTGAAGGGATACAACCCGCCTTTTGCATAAAATGTATCCTGGGGTGTAGAGGTTTGCCAGGCCTTTCTATCAGCAGTTTCCGTTTAGGCATCGTTTCACTTGAGTCCTCTGTTGGAGGTCTTCCCGGCGAACTTTGGGTCGTTCTGGCCCCAGGCCTCCGCTGCTTGCGGTCATGGACGACTCTGTCCCATTTTGTACATACGCCCAAACCATCGTAACGGATCCAGCCATGTCTGTAAAGCCTAGGTTTCACGTTTTTGCTGCATTCTCTCACTGCAAACTTTCTCCCTTCTTGTCACCTGGGCCACTATTTCTGATGCCTGAAGCTGGCCTATAGGTCAGGATTGGTACAAAGGTAGAGCGGTTACAACTATTTATGCCCTCTAGCAAATTTTTTTTTTTTTTGGACTGAGAAACCTTTGTTTTATTCAAACACTAAAAGTACAAAAGTAACAACACAGCAGATTACACAATGTAAACTTTTATTATATGAACCAGCATCCAATAACTCCTCACAATAACAACAGACGAACCTGCAACCAATTTACCCTACATTTTCTGCACTGCTCCACCAAGAGCCCGAAAACAAAATTCAAACTGGAAAATTCCTTAAAACTGTTCCTGCCTAAAAATAATTGCCACAAAAGTTAAAATGTTGGACAGTTAAAAAAATATGTATAGCTGACATTTCATGAGGGCGGGACGTGGGGGTCAATGTGTGACAATGGCAATGACAACAAGAATGAAATGTTCATAATTGATAACAGAACACGGAAAAAAAAACTAGATTAAAAAAGGTGATGTGATGGTCCTGTTCAACCCTCCTCCTCTTCATCGTCATCCTCTCCTTCACCTTCTTCATCTGCTGCCTCCTAAAAAAAATTAGCATAATGATTCAGTGAGTTTTGAACAAAGAGACAAAAATATTGCATATTTCATGGCTGGACATATTCCGCTGTATCTCACCAGGTGCGATAAATCAACAATAAACTATGCAGTCTGCGAGTCTTCTTTTTCAAATATACATTGGTGAAACACCGAGTTTATGAAATCAATATATCTTCTCCTTCTTCTTCGCGTTCACCAGCTGTACACTCTGGCGTAAAGTTCTGGTTGTTCGTCTACTTCTGGACTGCAGTTCTGCTCCAGAACCTGAGTGTGCATCTGTTTTACAGATCTGATTCAATTGAATGTAGACTGTTGGTTCCTTGCCTCTCAGGCAGATGCACTCCGACTTCAAAGGAAGCTCCCCAAGTAGTCGACTCTTACGACATGCTTTTGGGGAGGCAGTGGGTCTATTCTTGTTTTCCCCACAATAGGGCCCCGGAACCCACACGGGGGGTCAATATATCTATAATCAATGTGGTAAACAAGTTTATTTTCAATCCAACACCAATTAATCCCAATCAGGTGCCATACCCACAACAATTATCGGCTGCATTGGATCTTCAACAGGCTCGGTCTTGGTAGAACATTCTCTCCCAGACAGCTGTTCTTCCAACTATTGATCCTGCTCTCTGACTATCTCATGGTTTCTTATGCTTGACCTTTTCCTCCAGTACTGTTTGTAATCAAATACTGTAAATTTTTTCCAGCAATTTATTTTTGAATCTCTCTCACCAGAACCTCTGATTTTTTCTGTTCACAAGGGCCAACCTGGTACCAAGCAAGTCTGCTGGAAAGTGGTTGGATTATAATCATCTTTTTTGGCCAACATATGCGACTTCACTGAGCACTAGTTGACCGGGTTAACATCCCGGTTAGTTTTGGTCTTTATCCTTTTGTCAATGTGTGTTGCCCCTGGAGACTCCATCAAGGGTACCTGCGTGTGGACTGGTTGGCTCTAAAAAAGAAGGTAGGAGCATGTTATGGGCATCCCTTGCAATCAAAGGAAGTTTCCATAAAATCAGAGCCGACACATGACACTCTGAAACTAGGCGAACCCAAACAAGCGTCACAGACCGCACCCTCAGGATGTTAGCAGCCCACAACAGCTGTAAACTCTAGGGTCACCTTAGAGCTGTTTGTTATCTTCTTTAGAACTGAAGTTTTTGCATGTCTATCCGTTTTCCAGAGCTGGCTTATATGCAAGCTGTTGGTTACTAGCCTCTGAGACAAATTCAAAGGTGACACCCTTAATTATACATTCGTTGTGACACGCATTTCAGACTGGTGACTGGTCTTTAAATATGGGTCCTGAAAACCCATACAGGAATGAAGCCAGATGTAGACAAAGATTTTACTCTGTACAACACACCAGGGATTGCTTAGCCTCTACTAGATGCGAAGTTCCTGACCTGACTTTGCGCACCCCTTTATTTCTGGACTGGGAACACCAGCCTTGCCCAAGTTTTGGAATCAGGGACTATTGTGTGCATTTTAATATACCTTTAAGCCAATAAACAGGAAAAAGAAATTGAAACCATTTGACAAGAATTATATTCAAAATAATCATTGGAAAATAAAGCACTACCTCATCAGGTTCCTCTTCATCTTCGAAGTTGCCCTCATCTTCTGGCTCTTCATCTGTGAAGATAATGAAACACGATCAAACCTACGACCATCATTCTAAAACTAACAGGTCAAATACCAAATTGCCCAAAAGATCTACTTTTTAAAAAGGCGCGTCACATGACCAAATAATGCTAGGCCAAGAACTAATAATTCACTAAACTGGTGAACTAACTATATCAACCTCCTCATCTGCTTCCACCACCAGACAGCTACGGCATCTTTCTCTTTAGACATTTATTAAAGAAATCTACTACTTCTGTGTTAAGACATTTCTCCTAGTCTGTGCCTCGTCAACTAAAAATTTATTCAGTCATCACTACTGTCTAAAATGCTTTTATCACACAATTCCTTGAACAGCATCCGTGAAGTTTGTTACCATCATGAAATGGGAGCTTCAGAATACTCATATAGCAGGGCTATTCAACTGTTGGCCTGGATTAGAGCTAGATGTATTGAATTAATGAATCTTTTTATGTTGTGGCCCGGAAATCTGGTCCATGATAATCCAAATGTTCAAAATTGTAGCCCCTGGGTAAATTTAGTTGAACAGCACTGACATTTAAGTACATTAGCCACTGTGTTCATATGCCACTCATTCAGACATGTAACACAACTAAAAAAAAAAAAAAAAGCTAGACATATTATGTCTGCTTCATTTACTATGTGACAACAACAAAAAACCAAATTTATTCCAGATTCTCTGTAGATGAGAAGCCTATGTCAGATTCTGTAATAATAATCTTGGTCCATCTGTACACTCCAGCGGAAAGTTCTAAGTTTTGCATGTACATCCATTTTAAAGATCTTGCTTATTTATATGCAGACTTGTAGTTCTTTGTCTCTCAGGAGCTGCAAAATCAATAGTATGCCAGAGGCCACATTGGAAATTCTGTAATGGTAGCTGACACAACAGTATTTACAATCAGCAAGTGTATTCACTGTCTAACCCCTGCAGTTAAAGAAGAAACATAGACAAACCACTGCAGTTAGCAGTTCAAATATACAACAAAATGGGTCGCTGGGTCTCTACAATAAGACACTTACCATCGCCTCCATCACCGCCTGTTTCTTCATCGACTTCGGAAGCCTATGAAATTAGAAAGCAAAGATACCCTTTAAACATAATTTCAAAGCCAAGATAACATTGTGAATGTGAAAATTATATGGAGTATGTTCTGCGCATTAAAACAAGAGAGTGACACCTACACATGTTGAGCAATCAACCAGCTTCACATGTGTAGTAAATTTTTACAATGCTCTACTTCTTCTTCGCATTCACCAAATGTTAACTATGGCAATGCCCCACTATTTTTCACATAGAACCTTGAAACAAAAATTGCTGCCTGTGTGTGGGCTTTTAAAATCTGATACCCGCTCCCTCCTCAAACAATAACACAACTGTAGTATTATAATCATCAGGTGTACACAATGTCCAGCAGCTGTTCCTCTCTCCTGCATTTGCTGGAATGTGTTTAGTATTTATTTCCACACTAGCTATGCCATTTTTTGTACAGCCACTCTGAGCCTTTTTTTCTTAATCTGCATGCATCTGAAGATACAACTGTGCTGTCTAAGTGCATCACACAACACATTAACAGCTTAAGTTACGCTACATCAGAAACATAGTTGTCCTTCCTTTCAACATCAAAAACACTCAACTTTCTCTCGAAACAAATGAAAACAGGAAATAGATCCAAACATGTACCCACCAGGTAGTACTGTAAAGGATTAGGCCAGATATCATCCTTGATCACCTCACCGAGCTCGTCAGCGCCAGCATCGCTGTGGTCACAAAACCAGCTGAAGAATGACTCTTGATCGTCATGGCTCCTCTTCTTTCCCTTGTTGGCACTTCCCTTTTTTGTTAAATCCTGCAAGGAAACAATATCAGTTCTGTAAATATGCAGACTGGTCACAACATAAACACATTTTCCAGTGATAAAGATAATGCATGTTGACTGACATTTTAAAAAAATGAGTGCAAAATACAGTGGTATCAATATTTGTAGACTCATAATAAAAAAATATATTTATGCAGGATGGAGGTAAAGAAAATAAACATGTCGGTTAGAGATAACAGCCAAGCAGACCGTCGAACAAGAAATGTGTTAAGTATGGGCACAATAAAAGAGTAATCGAAGACTACAGTTTTCTTTTCAAAGATACTACAAAGCTTCTGACTACACAAGGCACTCGCATGATAAAAATAGATGCAAGCTTCAACTGGTGTGAAACGAACTTAATTGGGAAAAAAAATAACATACTGCCAGAAAAATTCAAGTGTTTCTAAACAGTCGATGAGGCCGACAGTGCTGGGTGTGTAATGGCGGAGTATGGTGAGTATATCAACGCAGTTACAGAACTGACAAGGAAAACAATATTACCTTTCCTTCCTTCCACTTGATGGGGGTTGACTGTGATGAAGGGTCACCAGTATCATTTAGGTGAAACTCTTTCGTGAGGATATCGTTGGAGAAATAGGGATTGGTGTCAAAGTACTGAGGAAATAAAAAAAATAACTCTGGTAATAAAAATTAAAAGCCACATCTCTACAGTTGCAATATTTGCTCCAATCCAAAAGCCATATGATCTAGTCAACATAGCAGATAGGCTGGCTTAATGATTTTAGTTGTGTCAAGTTTCTTCTTCTGTTGGCAGCTGCATTTTTTCCCCATATGTGGACTAGGGGGATATATAAATAGTTATGTCAACCAGCTACTGAGCTGAGTGCAAATTATTTTGTTAGATCCGTTGAAATATTTATGGCTGTAGACCCAAATAGTACCGACTGCTGTAGTATCACTATTCCTTAACAGCATATTTCATGTTGATATAATGAAATTTAACAAGCCATAAAAAACATTTGCATAAAAAAATAAGCACAAGGTGTGTTTTTTCCTAGGTATGTGCCTGTTTACAGCATAGCTGCAATATTTGCACCTTTTAGCCCACGCACTACTTCTTCCATTTGTTCACCAGGTTTAGCCTTCATGGCGTATGCGCCCAATTTTTTCAGATTAACACTTTCGCTGCTAAGGACGAGCTAACTCGTCTGCCCGGTAGACTGCTAAGGGCGAGCTAACTCGTCTGCCCGGTAGACTGCTAAGGACGAGCTAACTCGTCTGCCCGGTAGACTGCTAAGGACGAGCTAACTCGTCTGCCCGGTAGACTGCTAAGGACAAGATAACTCGTCTGCCCGGTAGACTGCTAAGGACGAGCTAACTCGTCTGCCCGGTAGACTGCTAAGGACGAGCTAACTCGTCTGCCCGGTAGACTGCTAAGGACAAGATAACTCGTCTGCCCGGTAGACTGCTAAGGACGAGCTAACTCGTCTGCCCGGTAGACTGCTAAGGACGAGCTAGACTCGGACGAGCTAACCGTCGACGAGCTAACTCGTCTGCCCGGTAGACTGCTAAGGACGAGCTAACTCGTCTGCCCGGTAGACTGCTAAGGACGAGCTAACTCGTCTGCCCGGTAGACTGCTAAGGACGAGCTAACTCGTCTGCCCGGTAGACTGCTAAGGACGAGCTAACTCGTCTGCCCGGTAGACTGCTAAGGACGAGCTAACTCGTCTGCCCGGTAGACTGCTAAGGACGAGCTAACTCGTCTGCCCGGTAGACTGCTAAGGACGAGCTAACTCGTCTGCCCGGTAGACTGCTAAGGACGAGCTAACTCGTCTGCCCGGTAGACTGCTAAGGACGAGCTAACTCGTCTGCCCGGTAGACTGCTAAGGACGAGCTAACTCGTCTGCCCGGTAGACTGCTAAGGACGAGCTAACTCGTCTGCCCGGTAGACTGCTAAGGACGAGCTAACTCGTCTGCCCGGTAGACTGCTAAGGACGAGCTAACTCGTCTGCCCGGTAGACTGCTAAGGACGAGCTAACTCGTCTGCCCGGTAGACTGCTAAGGACGAGCTAACTCGTCTGCCCGGTAGACTGCTAAGGACGAGCTAACTCGTCTGCCCGGTAGACTGCTAAGGACGAGCTAACTCGTCTGCCCGGTAGACTGCTAAGGACGAGCTAACTCGTCTGCCCGGTAGACTGCTAAGGACGAGCTAACTCGTCTGCCCGGTAGACTGCTAAGGACGCTAACTCGTCTGCCCGGTAGACTGCTAAGGACGAGATAACTCGTCTGCCCGGTAGACTGCTAAGGACGAGCTAACTCGTCTGCCCGGTAGACTGCTAAGGACGAGCTAACTCGTCTGCCCGGTAGACTGCTAAGGACGAGCTAACTCGTCTGCCCGGTAGACTGCTAAGGACGAGCTAACTCGTCTGCCCGGTAGACTGCTAAGGACGAGCTAACTGCCCGGTAGACTGCTAAGGACAAGCTAACTCGTCTGCCCGGTAGACTGCTAAGGACAAGCTAACTCGTCTGCCCGGTAGACTGCTAAGGACGAGCTAACTCGTCTGCCCGGTAGACTGCTAAGGACGAGCTAACTCGTCTGCCCGGTAGACTGCTAAGGACGAGCTAACTCGTCTGCCCGGTAGACTGCTAAGGACGAGCTAACTCGTCTGCCCGGTAGACTGCTAAGGACGAGCTAACTCGTCTGCCCGGTAGACTGCTAAGGACGAGCTAACTCGTCTGCCCGGTAGCTAGCTAACTCGTCTGCCCGGTAGACTGCTAAGGACGAGCTAACTCGTCTGCCCGGTAGACTGCTAAGGACGAGCTCGTCTGCCCGGTAGACTGCTAAGGACGAGCTAACTCGTCTGCCCGGTAGACTGCTAAGGACGAGCTAACTCGTCTGCCCGGTAGACTGCTAAGGACGAGCTAACTCGTCTGCCCGGTAGACTGCTAAGGACGAGCTAACTCGTCTTAGACTTTTCTTACAGGTTGCTATGAGCTGTTGTGAAATCGCAAAATAAATTGCCTAAATCTGATCAAACTGACACATTTACATACAATACCCCATTTGTTTATGTGTATTTAGATGCATTTCACGTTATCCTGTTGCACTGTTACCATAGAGGCATGGTCGGTAAAGGGTAAATATTTGCCCTTAAATATATTTCTGGTTTTGCGTGTCTACTTTAAAAAAAAAAAAATATAAAACAAGAAAATGTGTTAATTAAAGTTAATGAAGAATTAATGGAGTCTCTTTTAATGAGTAATAGTAATGATCACTTTGAAACGTGTGAGTTATATGAGCTGGTTTATCTTCGTGGCACGCCGGCAGAAATGTGTACTTCTGGCTGTGAGCAAGATTGACAATATGACCCAGGTATCTACATCGGCTGAATTTGAAATGGATCCCCGATAATCAACATAAAGATATGGTCACGTACTGACATGAAGATTAATATTAATCTTACTGTTTCTAGTATACTATAATATAGTCTATACAACTGACATAAATGTGTCTATCAAAGTGTACAATACTGGTCCTATTTTCAGTTTCATTTTTCATATGAATTTCTAGTGTAGTTAGTATCACGTCTGCCTTACAATCGAAAGGTCCTGCATTTAACCCTTACGTGCCTTTTTAAAAAAAAATGTTAGCTCTTAGCACTTTTGGCAACAGATCACCGAAGTAATAAACATCCTGTCGCTTGCGTTACATGTTATCTTGTTTGTGAAGCCTGGTTAGTGTACTGTGCATTTGTAGGGGAAAAAACACTCCTTTTGCCGAATTTAATTAATGTTAGTAAAAGAAATTCTACAGAAATATTGCAAGGAAAAAGTGTAGGACAGAAAGCTAAAGAGCTGCCACTTCGTTTGGTACAAAGGCATTTTAATTTAATAAGAGTCCGTAAATTACAGCAGAAATTCCCAACAAGAAAGTGTGTGGTGTGCGCATAAAAAAACTGCAGGAAACCAGATACATGTGCAAGGACTGTGATTTAGCATTGTGTTGCACCTTTGTTTGGAATATTTCACACACACACAAAAAAAGATAATAATAATAATAAAAACCATGTATTTGCTTACTCAAGTGTTTTATTTGCTTTGTAAGTTTGTGGTGTTTTATTTTTGTTAATGAGTTTTCATGGCATAGCCATAGCGTGTCTGACTTGTCAGCGCAAAAGTCAACCATACGCCTTTAAAGATTTGTTATATTAGGTGTAAAAAAATTACTTACAAAATTGATCCTGTAGCCAGATTTGATGTCCTCAAACTCCTGAACTTCGACCTTTGTGAGGTACTGCAGTGCTTCCTCATCATCTTCATTTAGTAAGGCTGACACTTGAGGATGGTTCACAAACTGGCGCAAGAGTTAGGGAAGGCGACACATAACTGTTTTTTTTTTCTAGCTGTTTTTCAAAGTTGTTGGACAAATCAGACCCACTATATCACCATAAAAAGTTCAATGCAGATCCTTTACAGGATGTTTTAGACCCAACCCTGGCATTTTTTTTTTTACTGTTGTGGGTTTTCTAAGCAAATTTATGTCCACTGCTTTTTGTGCTGCCAGCTCTCGGTACCACCGCAGGACAAAGCGTTCGTAACTCCTAAGCCACAGACACCCACACCCTAAAATTTTTTAAATGGTGACTAAAAAAAGGCAACATATGACTGAACACCGCTCTTTTGTAGCTTTTTTACATAGCGGAGGCCTGGAACATTGAAATTGTACCACCCTAACAAACATACCCAAACGGTTAACTAATAATAAGAGTTGTTTGAAGCTGGGAGTGACATTGCCTGAAAGGCGAGCCTACTAATAAAAAAGATCTACAAATTGCATCACAACAAATAAATGCATTTTTAATTTCATACAAATGAATGCCAGTGAAAAAAGGTGGTTAACAATTGGTGCCCCGATTAGTTCCTGAAAACAAAAACCATTAAAATATTTCAGTGAATCTTTCAAAAAGGATACAGCAGTCACCCAGAAGTTTGGTATTTTTGCTATAATGTCTGACCGCTTCTTGAAGTAAGGCTGCCTTAGTGTATTGTATTTCTGCTCTACCTTGAGAATCTCCTCACTGGCATTTTCATTTAACTTGTCGATTTCATTCTGAACCTCATCAATTTGTTCAATTGCTTCTTGCTGGTCAGTTTCTGAACAGGATCAAAACAAAAATGAAAACATTTAAATTTTAATTTGAGGCTGACAAAGTAAATACAAAAGTAAAGTACTAAAAACATTAGGAGTAAATAAATTCTATCAGTCTGATAAATCAAGGCCGCTATGCTTGTGTAGTCTCTACTGAGGACTTGCCAAAGCAGACTAGAAGAAAGATTTGTTCAAATAATTTCATTAACAATGAAGCAATCATCAAATAAAATGTTACCATAAGCAAATTCCACTATAAAATATGTCAACAGCTAAAATTAAAACGACAAGATGACTAACGGGCCATGGGGATTTAAAAATAAACTTGTGAAACGTAAAAAGAGTATAGACATGTTTATATACAGGGGACGTAACTCTTGTAGAATTATCGGAACATTGGCGCCTTGGACGCCGCATTGTTGTCTCGATCTCAACTTTATTTTTAGTTGATACCAAATGTTTACAAACAAATAGCCACAAATTACAATGCAAAACGCAGGGAAGAAATATTCAACGTGGTGACTTGCATCATCAATATAAAAACATGACAAAAACACATGATTGTCGATTCTTCGTGCGAGACCAAGAGCCATGCCTGACTAACTAGCTGCATGGCAGGCATAGAACGCCTTCCCATTTTCTCTGGCCTCTACGCATAATTACCAAACTTCCGGTAAAAAAGAATGGGGGCGCAAACCCGGATCCTAATGTTAACTTTGACAGACTAGGAGGAACTGCTTGTACGTTAAATGTTGAATTAAGAATCGACAGCATAGCACTCGGGACACTCCCATTAGCGCTCCGTCCCCATCTTCAGCAGCAAACGAAGAGTTCCAATGGTACCAGTAATTGTCTGATTGTATATCCGTCTCGCCTTTCCCTTAAGTGTTGAGCGTCAGTAATATCCCCTGGTAACTCCTCGCAGCGCCATTCACCTCAGACCGTAATAATCTCTTTGCGCTTCCGCACTGTTTACTCGCTCCCAGAGGGCCCTCACAACGTCTAGTTTGTCATACATCATTTTACCATCAAGTGGTGCAAAAACCAGCCAGTCTATCTGCATGCTCATTTTCCAGCCAACTGGCATTACCAGAAGAGAATATCCAAAGGATACTAACTAGTCGGGATGCCTGCCACTCTGCACGGAGCATACCTGTCTCCACCTTCCTCAACATGCTCTGTGAGACAGTGACAATCACGGCATGTACTGCTCGTACGTGGAAGTAACATTGTCACAAGATGTCGATTTAAAAAAACAGTTAGCAGAAGGAAAGATGCTGATGTGGAATCAAAGTCGCTGTCATTAGTTGATGCTCCAGCATCACCGCAGACGGATAACCTTATTGCAACTCCCTTCCCGAACCAGTGAAATCATACAAAATGTCACTCACCGTCCCATTTTGAAACTGGGAAATAAAATATCAGTGCTAGCAAAATTGTGAAGTTCGCACAAGCAAAGTAAATGCATGGAGCAGCTGTCAGTTGCGGGATTATAGATTTAAAGAAAGTTGCAAATATAATACAAAAATGGAAGCTCCTATTCGGTTACCGCCGTTAGTGTGTGAAGCTTTGGATGTTACATATTCTATGATATGACGTATAAGAAGAAATGGCAAACTTTCCTTTGTGTGTGTGTGTGGAAATTGTCTACTGTCCTCAGTATGCTAATTATGGGGTCCCGATGGTGTGGGACAAACCTTCTATTTCCTAACAAGTAGGCCGCAAAAGGCGACTAAATACGGTTGTTTCTTTCGAAGTCGGACTGCATCTGCCAGAAAGGCGATGAACCAGTAGTCTGCATACAAATATGCCTGATCTGTAAAACAGATGTGCACGTGAAACTCCAGTTCTAAAACAAGACCAAAGTCTAGAAGTGGACGAAGAACCAAATCTTTCCGCCCGAGTTTGTAGCTAGTGAACGCATTTTCGGGGGCTGCACTTTCAATAACAAATGTGGTCAGCTCGACCTCCGCACAAGTGGTGTAAAATGGGGGGGGGGGGGGGGCGCTTAATGGTGCGTACGCTTTGTTTAGGGCAAAATAATAAAGACAGTGCTTAATGGCAAAAAAATATACTAATCTTCTTCTTTCTTCTTCGCGTTCACCGGCTGTGAACTCCGGCGGAAAGTTATGGTTGTTCGTCCACTTCTGGACTGCAGTCTTGTTCCAGAACCTGAGTGTTGCGTGTGCATCCGTTTGACAGATCTGTATGCAGACTGTTGGTTTCTTGCCTCTCATGCAGATGCACTTCGACTTCGAAGGAAGCTCCCAATTGGTCGACTCTTACGACATGCTTTTGGGCAGGCAGTGGGTCTATTCTTGTTTTTCCCATAGTAGGGCCCCGGAACCCACACGGGGGAATATAATACTATATTTGAAATACTATATGTACAATCATATAAAAGATAAAAGCTGTACAATCTTGATATGTTCAGCTTAACCCTCTCACAAATTTATGGGCGGTACGGCCTTCTTCTTCTGCCTTTCTACCCCCCAATGGAGCATAGGCCCTCAACCAACTCACGCCAAGTCGTTCTATCCTTCGCCATTGCATGGAGCTCTCCCCATGTCCTCCCAATCTTTCTAACCTCATTCTCCAGCTCTCTTCTCCATGTGTTTTTTGGCCTTCCTTTATTCCTATGCCTCTGTGGGTTCCAATGCAAAGACATTCTAGTTATGCTGTTCTCCTGTTTTCTCAGTGTGTGCCCTACCCAACGCCAGCGTCTTTTCCTCACCTCGGTACAGCCTTCGTAGCAATAATTGAGGAAGGGGGTGGGGGAGGAGGGCCTCAATATGTTTAAACCACGGCCTACTTTAGACCTAAAGACAGCTATGTCTAAATCCATAGGTTCCCAGAGTTCAATCTCCAGCTATGGTAAGGTGTTATTTATTAAGCAAGTATTATGTCTTTAGGTTAGTTTTTTTTTTAAAGACGTTCATGAGAAATTCCTGGGAAGAAAACGCGACGAGGAGGGGCACTGGTCACCACATCTCATTATGTCGTACTCTAGAATCTGAGGAGTATGGTCACATCTCACTCTGTCGTACTCTAGAATCTGAGGAGTATGGTCACATCTCATTCTGTCTTACTCTAGAATCTGAGGAGTATGGTCACATCTCATTCTGTCGTACTCTAGAATCTGAGGAGTATGGTCACATCTCATTCTGTCATACTCTAGATTCTGAGGAGTATGGTCACATCTCATTCTGTCGTACTCTAGAATCTGAGGAGTATAACTTTACAGCCTGGTGTTTGCATTTGACCAGAGACTACATTTCTCTTCTTCTTCTTCTTCGCGTTCACCGGGGGTAAACTCCGGCAGAAAGTTCTGGTTGTTTGTCCACTTTTGGACTCCTATTCTGCTGCAGAGCCTGAGTGATGCTTGTATATTCGTTTTACAGATCTGACTCATTTGTATTCATACTGTTTTTTCCTGCCTTTTATGCAGATGCATTCCGAAGGAAGCTCCCAGTTAGTCAACTCTTACGACATGCTTTTGGGTAGGCAGTGGGTCTGTTCTTGTTTTCACCAACCATGGGGTCCCGGAATCTACACGTTGAGGTTAAATCATTTACGACGAGTGCTCCGCTAATTTGGGAAATAAGCTCCACAAAACAGACTCTGAAGCTTACCGAGCATGATTCATATAAAGAATGACGATCGTGCCAGATCTCGATGATTGACAAATACACTCACAAACTGCTGTTGTAATTGACAAGAGGATGTGAACAACTGACAGATACTGCCAACTGTCAGTAATTACCGAAACAATCTGGTAATCTAAGTTTCAGCTTCATAGCAAACGGGTCACCCCATCTTTGCTCGGCTCCTGTACCAACGAAAAACACAGAATGTTTATCACAGTCCCTTGTACCGAAATAGGTTCTGTTGTGGCATCTGTCAACATTTACATTACAAAAGAAAGATAACAATACTTCTAATGAAACACCTCAAACAATGTGACAACGTAAAATGCTTGTACGCAATAACGCTGAGAAATTATTTGGTTAGGTTCACGTTAATCTCCCCAAATTGAGTAGGACACTTCATTCACAAGTTTGTTGGGCTGGTCGACTTTCCTGAAGATTATGGGTGTGTCCTACTCTGTTGTTTGCTTTCTGTGATGTCTTGCATTTACGTTTTCTTGCCTGTGACATAGGTTGAAGCACTCTCTAGGGAGGTTGTGTTAGGACCAGTCTGTTGATGTTTTTGGAGTGTGAAAATGCTGGCGTGGTGAAATATACAACTTGCGATATCAACGGCATTGTCCAACACCCCCGTAACCTCGTGCCAAAGTTTACAGGCTTAAAAACTACCAGTCATAAGTGAGCTTTTGTGTATGGGCGGGGCGTGGGGAGACCAACGTTACTTTTACCAATTATTTTTATTTGTACATTCAGGCATACTAACAGCACCTACTTTAAACTGAAATCAAAAAGTCGATGGGGGGGAGGGGTGGGAAAGGTCCCAGGTCTTTGGAATGGCATTCTGTTGGCTTTTTAATGGATGTGACGATTTTTTGAGTCAGCCAGGCATCAAGGTACCATGTGCCAGCTCTTTATTTATGACCCCGGTCTTCGGTCGTGTGCAAAACCTATGTGCTGTCCATGCCTATACTGACGACAGACCACTGTAGAAGCGGCAGTTCTGGGCGGGCTAGATGAAGATGGAGGGACAACGATGGCAAAGTGACTTTGATATCCTACAAAACTAACCATGAAGGTTAATCCTGTCATTAGATGTCTGATATAGAATATATAGACCGAAATGGGTAAATATCGCAGATCTGCTATACTCGCACACAATGCGGTTTCGGTTTTTCACAAGAAGGGAAAAGTGTAGTACTTACAATAAGAAAGTTGAAGAGGAAGAATGCTAGGTGAAGATCAAGAGAGATCTTGATCGGTTAGGCATCGCTGCATGGTCGAATATCGTAACAAAAGCACCACTTAATAAGACTCAGACACGGCCAGCTCCAGATATAAATAAGCTATTAGAAAATATT